CTCCCTCCCTTCCTTCCTCTCATTCTTTCTGAATACTTTAGAAATTTTTTATTACATTTATTTATTTTAGTGTGTATGTTTTTATGTATGTGTGTGTGCTTATCATGGTGCAGGTATAGAGGTCAGAGGACAACTTGTGAGAATTGGTTCTCTCCTTCCACCATGTAGGTCCTGGGGATGGAACTCAGGCATTCAAGCTTAGTAGCAAGTACTTTTATCTGCTGAGCCATCTTGCTAGCCCCTTTCTGAGCACTTTAAATAGGAGAACTGTATGGTAATTCAATGAAGTTGTTGCAAAGAAAGTGCTGTTCTAGGAAAAGTGTGGGGTGGGTGGGGAGAGAGAGAGAGAGAGAGAGAGAGAGAGAGAGAGAGAGAGAGACCCAGAGTGGGAAGGGGTAAAGCATAGGTTGTTCTCCTTTATCTCTGGATGCTGGCATGTGGTACCTGGAGAAGCTAATGCATCTCATGCAGAATCAGCCACAGATGAAAAGCAAGAAGGCAGGCAGTGCTAGACACCTGATGCTGCAGAATTGGTTAACTGTGGATCAGTGTCACCTCTTGGTTTCACCACATGAGGAGCTGAACTCAAGGTCCTGCACATGCTAGGCAAGGCACTCAGCTGAGCTACATCCCTAGCTCTTTTTGTATGTTTTATTGAGACAAGGTTGGTCTCGTTAAAGTTGCTTGGGCAGGCTCCTCAGTAGTTGGGATTACAGACCTGAAATATCAGGCTCGGCTCTGCATCGATTTTAAGGTCATTTTGAGTCTGCTTTGGTGCCACATGCTGATAAAGTCAAGTTGCTTGCTGCAGACCCCACAAGGCGGCCCCAGGGACCTTCTCGGCTTTAGGCCCTCTCTGCCCATCCTTCTCTGCTTTGCTCTTGCTCTGAAAGACAACCTGAGTTTCCTACAATGCTTGTGTGCTCTCGGATCCTCATCCTCATCTCCACCACTCACTTCTCTTCGTTTCTCATCTTATTCCCACCATGCAACCAAAATGACGTCAGGGAACATTAAAATTTCCCCTCAGAATTCCTTCTTCCAGAAGCTCTAGAATGGGCTGCACACATCTCTGCTGAATACATACGTCATCCCAGTTGCTGCCCTTCAGACTATCATCCTCTGTGAGAAATGGGATAGTGTCTAGTGTCTTTGCCATCTGCCTGTCTGCCCTGCACACCTCCAGGGATGTTGTTCACACGACAACACTTGGACAGCAACACTGGAGCTATATGAATATTTCACACTTCAAAGGATAAAATCTTTGACTTCAAGAAGGGTTCTGTAAAATTTACTTTAGGAGAACTGGGTGTGGTGGCATGTGCCTATGATCCCAACACTTAGGAGGCTAGCCTGGACTACAGAGCAAGAAGATATTCCAAACAAATCAAAACAAATTTCTTAGGAGAGCTGCCTTGAATGGCTAGTGGGGGAGTAATGGCCAAAGGCTGTGAGCTGCAGGCTGGAGGCGGGCTCCACAGGTTGTGGTCAGAGAGGCTTTGTCTGACTTCCTCCTGCCATGAACAGGGATAATGACAGACAGGCCTGCAGAGAAGACCCTAGGTACCCAGTGAGCCCCTGAACCAAGGTCAGAGTCCTCTGCACCTGTCACAAAAGCCCCAAGTACAGTTTAGAGGAGGTGTAAGCAGCCAGTTACCTTTGGTCCTGTTTCTATTCGGGAATACAGCAAATACGTATGCAGGTCCCCATATTTCATGAAGGGTAAAATCACCATGGGCTTTGGGATGCCTTGAGAGCTCATTTCTATGCACACACCTGAAATTCAAAACAGCACCAGTTACAAAGAGCCTTGTTATGTGTGAACAAATAAACCCTGGAGGCCTACTAGCCAAATTGGAGCCATGTGCTACCAGGTTAAGAGGTGAAATATGCAAAGCTCCTAACTCTCACAGAGGGTTCTAGAATATATAACACATGCACGCTGCACCACTTTTTTTCTTTCAAATTAGGTTAATCTTTGCAAGAGAGCGCTCAAAATTCAATCTGTCACGAGAACAGGCAACTAGAAACCGAGGTGTTTTTGTTAGACTGAATGACTGAGGGTAGTGACCTCATTAGAATCTGAGGGCAAACTAGCTAAATGCTTTCTCATGTGAAAACGTCTACTGCAACCAGATGTTTAAACCCACTCAAGTGTTTCTGAAGGTCTATAGGTAAGACCCTCTTCTCTAAATCTTCAGTTATAGAAAGAAGTTACAATACTTTATTGTGGAATTCTAGACCTAGAGCGAGTCATCTGATGCTAGGCTTGCAAAGCATTTGCAGTTTGTCCGGCAAACAAAGTTTGTTTTCCTAGTCTGTTAAAGCCAGAAATTGCAAATAACAGTCATTTCTTTGATATAATATTGTATCCAAACTTTAGCTTTACATCTCTTTGCAATGTCATGTAAAATTTGGAAAGAGCTCTCAAAAATTTACCATAGATTTCTAGGCATGGTGAGCATGTCTTTAATCCCAGCATTTGGGAGACAGAGGCAGGCAGATCTCTATGAGATTGAGGTCAGCCTGGTCTATATAGCGAGTTCCAGGCCAGCCAGAGTTACATAGTGAGACCCTGTCTCAAAAAAAAAAAAAACAGAACAAAACAAAACAAAAATTTACCATAGTTCAAGTCAAAGAACAGAAAAGAATAATCATTTCAAGATTGCACCTCTGTCTTAGAATACTGTTCCTTACATAGCACCCTGAAAGTGCTGCATCTTTGATTTAACAGAGCTATTAATACAAATCCCAATTAGATCGCCATGCTTCATGAAACTCTTAATGTGCCATGACCACAAATGAATACTATCAACTCCATTCATAAATTATTTCTCAAAGACAATTTATGGAACTTGTTATTTTTATAGCTTTATTTCCCTGGTATTTAATTCATGGATAACCTTAACCCAACAAAGATTATCACATGTCTTGCCTTTCGGTCACTAGGGGCTATTTTATTTTATTATTATTATTATTATTATTATTATTATTATTATTGTCTTTTTGTGACAGGGTTTCCCTGTAGCTGGCCTAGGTTCACTATGGAGACCAGGCTGGCCTCGGCCTCCCAAGTGCTGGGATTAAAGGCATGCACCATCCTACCTAGCCACTAGGGGCTATTTTAATTCACAGTCCTCAAATCTGTGTGAACATTCTCATCATCTCTAAACCCACCAGGGTCTGGGAAACACAAATCCATTCTTATTGTTGGTTTAAGAAAATAAAAACCCAGTATTGCAAATTCCTTTTGGGATCTGGGCAGGAGTAAACTTTTCTGCACCAGAATCTTTTTTTTTTTTTTTTTTAATTTTTTAAAGAAAATTTTATTTATATTTTATGTGATGTGTGTATTGCCTGCATGTAGATAAGTGCACCCGTGTTGTGCAATGCCCGTGGAGGTCAGAAGAGGCTGTCAGATCCCCTGAGACTGGAGTTACGGACAGTTATTAGCTGCCATGTGGGTGCTAGGATTTGAACATGGGTCTTCTGCAGGAACAACCAGTGTTCTTAACTGCTGAGCCATCTCTCCAGCCCCCTGCACCAGCATCTTTTCCCCTTTGTCACTCAGTGGATTAGCCAAGCTCCTCCTGGCCTTCAGTCCTGTATCTCCCTGAGATACCTAGAAGCCGGATGACGTTTGGGTGGCTGAAGTCTTTCATGCACGCCGCTTCACTGAGAAACTCCTCAATCTCCCGTTGCGAAAAGTTGTCCACTAGAGCAGATGGAAAACGTTAGGCATGATTAGCTTACTCAGTTATGGGGAGGGAATAAGAAACAACAGTTTTATTCTCTAAGACTAAAACCATACTAGGCATCATGGCCTATGCCTATATTCTTAACCCTCAGGAAATTGAGATAGGAAGACTCACAGGTCAAGGCTAGCCTGGGCTACACAGCAAGACCCTGTCTCTAAAAGCAAACAAAACAAAACAAAACAAACAAACAAAAATCCCCCTTCCAAACAAAACAAAAACTCCTAAAATCAGGAAAAGGCAAAACTATAGAGACAAGAGAGATGAGCATTTGTCAGTGTTTGGGGGTTGGGAGAGGAGAAGAGAGGCCAGTGGTGAAACGGTATTTTCAGGGCTGTGAAACTGTTCTGTATGGTACTGCACGGTAGACAGGTCATCCATATATTTATCAGACTACATAGAACTGTACAAGACCTAGAAACCCCAGTGAAAGCTAAGAGCTTCAGTTAACAATGATGCCCAACAGAGTTGGTTAACTGGGAAACAACGCCAGTCTAATAAAAGATGGATGCTTGTTACATTAAAGGGAAGTCCTGTCTGAGGGGACGGGAATACAGGGAAATTATACTTTTGACCAAAAAAAAAAAAACTTAAGAGACTTTTTAAAAAGACCCCCCCCCCATAAACCCTAAAGTGAATTCCAGCTACTCTGTCACAACTGCCCTTGCCTTTAGAAAGAAAGAACACCACAGCTCTCCCCTTTCTGTTGGTACATGTCCTGCATGTCTGGCTGTTTAATCCTGTGAGCTGAACAAAATTTTGGAATGAAATCAATTTAAGAAAGCTATTTAAAATTCAGTATTGGGGGGCTAGAGAGATGGCTCAGTGGTTAAGAGCACCAACTGCTCTTGCAGAGGACCCGGGTTCGATCCCCAGCACCTACATGGCAGCTATGAACCATTCTTAACTCCAGTTCCAGGGGAATCCAAAGCCCTCTTCTCACCTCCGGGGCATTGCACGACACAGGTGTACTCATATACATGCAGGCAATACACTCATGCACATAAAAATAATAAATAAAATATTTTTTAAAAAAATTCAGTATTGGGCAGGCAAGGTGGGTAAAGGTGCTTGCTGCCAAGTCTGATAACCTGCATGTGATCCCTGGACCCACATGGTGGAAGGAGAGAACTGGCTCCTGCACGTTGTCCTCTGATGTCCACACAGGCATCTTATAAGGTATGTGTTTGCCATCCCACCCACATAAATAAATGATTATAATTAAAGATTTTAAGATAAAATTAAATATTATGCTATATGAAGCTAGCCAGTCCTAAGAGAACAAATGCTGTATGATTCTACTTACAGAAGGCACTAAGTAACAAAATCAGAGACAGAAAGTAGAATGGTAGATTCCAGGGGTTGGGGAGGGGTGCGGAGAGTTAATGTTTAACAGGTATAGAGTTTCAGTTTGGAAAGATGGTAAGTTTTATGGATAGATGGTGATAATGGGTGTACGACAACATGAAGGTACTTAATGCCACTGGTTTGTATCCTTAAACATTAAAGTAAATATATCTTACTATAATTAAAAGCAAACAGACAAAACATAAATCTAGGCTTGCCTTAAGGAATTTCTTTAATAGGTTATAACTAGTAACTAAATAACATCTGAGGGTATCTAGCCACATCTGGCCACTAGTAAAGAAAACTTAAAAACCTTTACACCTATAACACACCTGCCAATTTTGCCCTCGCCTCTTCCCTTTGTTGCAGAGACCAAGGGGAGCAGAATAGAAAGCAGGGACCGAAGTCTGCCTCACACCCTTCTCCAAGGACCAGCTCCAGGCAAATGAAGCCTCAGGATTCATTTATTTTTCTTAATAACTTTGAAACATATATTTATTTCCCAATACCATCAATTTGACGTCTCATCAGAAAAACAGCACTATTGAGTGACTACGCCATCCTCGGGAGAATGTTAATCTTCGGTTACAACGTTAAAGCTCTTGGTTTCATAGCCTAACAAGTTTTCTTTGAAATGACTTAATATTTATTTTAATTTCACCTTCCACAGTGCTTGGAATTGAACCTAGAGCCTTGTGCATGATAGGCACACTCTCTACCACTGAACTATGTGGAGATTCTGAGGCCAGAAGCAATTCTTTCAATCTTAGATTGATGCATGATGTAATTCAAGAGCAAGCTATTCTGAGGAAGTGGCCCCACCCTGTTAGAGGTAAACCAAACCAATCCCTGGGGTCAGATGCTACCACAAGCTCCCCTGCCTCGAACTCAGGCCTTACTTAGGGATCATTAGCTTTACTAGATAATGGGGGCTGAGGGACAGAATGATAGAACTGGTGAAAGGAACACATGTTGCTTTGAGTATAAAAAATGTACAATGCATGTGTACGGAGAGCTCACTATGGGACCCTCCCCTGGTGACCATGGTTCCACACTGCCTGTGACTCATCAGCAACCACGACAAGAACATTACCACTGACCTGCATGGAGCACCTGATACGGGTGCAAATGCCCACCCTAGAATAACGGGTTTGGCCCCTGGTAACTCACACTTCATTGTCTTCACTGCCACCTTCTGAGAAGTCCCATCTTCCTGCTTCAGATTTCCTTCCAGTACAGAGCCAAACTCTCCTGTGAAGTGACGCAACATATGAACGCTATATGCAGAAATGCCAGTGCCAACTCTGTAGTTATGTGTGGTCCCCGAGCAACTCATCTGTAGACAGTGAGCAATGCCTGCCCAGACCTCTTACACTGGCATGCCAGGGGCATATGTCACATGCTGGTATCTGAACGGCGCTGACTCTGCTTAGTTTGCCATTGTACCAACCATTATAACTGACCCAAGACACTTACAGGAGAACATGGAAATATTCAAGTTTGTAAAGTACAGAGTCTTCCCCTGCAAAAATGCCAGCGATGGAATCCAGGGCCTTGTACAAGTCAAGCAAGCCCAGAACATATTTTAATTACATTATCATTCATCTTAAAAATAATTTTAAAAATTAAATACACATTTTCATCTTTGTTTCTATTTAACTAATTAGAAAGGTGCTAAAAAATAATCAACTGAAGAATTAGATGAATACCTCCAAGTATACAGAACATCAGTCAGGAAATTGCATGCTTTGTAATGAAGGAAGGGAATTCATATTTTTCTGTCCTACTCTGTGTTCTAATGGCTGTGGGTACCTTATTCTAATGTAAGATCCAAGTTTCAAAAATCACTACTTTCAAATTTCAAAGCAGACTTATTTACATTATAATTCCAGGTCATAAAAGTGGAGTTTTATTTAATAAATACACATTTTAAAAAATCCTCTCACTTGCTACTTGCCTCACATTTAAACCATTTTATTTATTTTATTTAAGTGTATGAGTGTATTGCCTGCATGTCTGTAAGTGTGCCTGTGCTGTGCAATGCCCACAGAGATCAGAAGTGGGCATTGGATCCCCTGGAAACGGAGTTATGGACAGTTCTTAGCTGCCGTGTGAGTGCTGGGAACTGAACTCAGGTCCCCTGCAAGAGTAGCCAGTGCTCTTAACCACTGAGCCATCTCTTCAGGCCTTGTTTTACATTTTAAAAGAATTGCTTTAGGTTACTTACCTTCACCCAAAATTTTTCCAAGAATTAGAAGACTCCTGTCAATTACAACATCTTCCAGTTTATTTTGCAGCTCCTCGCTCACTCCCAAGCTGTGTACTACAAAAGGAATGTGTAGGAGTTACCAGTGTGCTTTCTCCCATTAAATCCAACCAGAGTATATGTAAAATCCTGTGTCATAGCTAAACATTTCCCCCATTTGTGCATTATTTTTTCTCTAAAAATCCCAGTGATAAAACATCACATTCCATTGTACTGGACTGAGGTGAGTAAAATTAATCCTTCAGGGCAAGATCAATTGTGAACAACTATGAAAGTAAAAAACAAACTTCTCTTCCCATCATTCAGCAGCAGCCATCAGCACTTAGGCTCATGCAGAAGAGGTTTATCTTTGGCTCAAGGGGTTAGGAAAAAGTGTCAAGGGGTACCAACTGGTGGATTATGTATCCATATCTATGGTCATAGAAAAGAGACACAGGGACAGCTCCGCTATCCTCTACCTCCTGCCAGGGAAGGAGGTATGCAAATCATAAGAGACATCCAGAGAATAAGCTATTCTCCTACATTGGTATGTGTCACCTCATTATAAGAACTGAGTACTTCCGGGAACTGGAGAATAAGATTGTCTACAACGAGGATGTCATATAATAAAGTATATAGTACACATATAGCACTGATAAGTGTTGGCAACAAGAGGAATTGACCAGGAGAGGAAGAACCACTTAAAAATTCTTTGGCAGATAGTTTATTCTGAGCTACAGTTGAGGTATGAGCAAACTTTTGAAAGAGAAAAACCATGAATAATTGGAAAGGACATATTAAATCTTACAAAAATATTTACACAAATTGTTCTCCAATAAAGGAAAAAAAACCTGTTGAACAAGAATTTTTTTAAAACACAAGGACAGAAATATTTAAAGGTAAAAAACAGAGTTTAGAAAAGCAATCAATATGGGGCTGGAGAGATGGCTAAGGGGTTAAGAACACTGGCTATTCTTACAAAAGACCTGGGTTCAAATCCCAGCACCCACATGGCAGCTAACAACTGTCTGTAACTCCAGTCTCAGGGGATCGGACGGCCTCTTCTGACCTCCGCGCACACTGCATGACACGGGTGCACATGCAGGCAATACATGCGTACACATAAAATAAAAATAATAAATTAAAAAAAGAAAAGCAATCAATAATGTTCTCCATCAAATGAGTTTTGGTTTCCCAGGGGCCTGTATTCCCTCATCCACATATCCTGTTTTGCTTTGTTGAGTTCTATCCAGTCAAGTACCAAGAAGCACGGAGTTGACAACATTGGTGTTCTTCCTGGGTTGCTTCTGAAACTGTTCAGGAACACTTGTATCTGTTTACTCCCCTCATCAAATCGGAAGTCCCCACTCCCATTCAGCAAAATCCAAACCATAATTGCTGCAAAGCATGCTGGAAAACTGTCCTTTGAGTTGGTGGCCAGGAAAACAGGAAGGGAGGCTGGAAATGATATTCAGGGCTTTGCTGCTTCACTTTCATCTCTGAGCTCTGTCCCATTTCTCATCACCCACAAGGTTGCTCTTTCCCTCAGCATTTGTGGGTCCTTAAACCCAGTTTCTTAAACCAGCTTCACTTCAGATTCTAGTAACCCAGCTAGTAGAGACCTGTTTGGCAACATCTGACCGTCTCCTTGCTGGTTTCCAAAAGCGTTCTGAACATTAAAAATATCCATTCTAGTTGGTGTGGTAGTGTATGACTGGAAATCCAGCACTCAGGAGGCTGAGGCAGAAGGATCATGAGTTTGAGGCTGGCTTGGGCTACAAAGCAAGACTCTACCTTGGGAACAAAAAAAATCAGAACATATATGTATCAGAAAATACATAATATTTGTTGTTTTTTGAGACAGGGTCTCCCTGTAGCCCCAACTGGCCTGAAATTCCCTATGTAGACCAGACTGGCCTCAATCTCATAGAGATCTGCCTGTCTCTACCTCCTGAGTGCTGGGATTAAAGGTGTGCACCACCACACCTGGAGATTTTTTTTTTTCTCTCCCCATTCTCAGCTCCTGGCTTTCATTAGAAACCTGTCGGCAATTTTTTCTTGGTGTTCCACTATTTTAACTTTTGCCAAACAGTTAAAGAACTTACAGGTAAGTTCGATGGCTCTCCGACAGAAGGACTTCTTTGCTATGTAATTTACAACTAATTCCGAATCCTCCTCTTCGAATGCACTCCTGCACCAAAATAAAGACATCCAACCATAAAAACAGGGTAATGGGACCAGGTTCTGATGCCATAAGGATGTGAAATCAGCACCTTGTCAAAGGACTCTTCTGCAACCCAAAATTCCCTGCTGGGGATGCAGCTTGATGGAAGAGTGCTTGTCTAGCAGATGTGAAGCCCTGGGTTCAATTCTCAGCACCACAAAAGAAAAATAAGCAAACAAGCAAGCAGCAAAAAAAGTTTCCCATGAGAAGAGACATGTTTTTCCTTACTTCTATTTAGGTGTATGTGGTAGTAACAAAACATTTCTGTCCATGTATCATGAAGGACAGATAATAGGACTGGAGATGAGTGACAGAAATGTTTGCTTCTCATGCCTCTGGGCCCTGGATTCAAGCCTTAGCACCATACAAACAAACATACATATTTGCACTCATACATATATGTAGATTCTAAGAGCAAAGAATAATTGATAACTTTTCAATGGCCAAACATTCTGAGCAATAAAATCTAAAATGAATATTCATTGAGTCTATGCTAGCATAGATAAGATTGAATGAATGAGAGAAATCTGTGTAGAATATCAAATAATATATGTAGATGCTGCATTCTTTTTAAAAATTTTATTATTTTTATTCTATTTTATGTGTATAAATGTGTTGCTGGTATGTGTGTGAGTGCACCTGTCATGCAATGCCCTTGGAAGTCAGAAGAGGGCGTTGGATCCCCTGGGGCTGGAGTTACAGACAGCTGTTAGTGGCCATGTGGGTGCCGGGAATTGAACCCAGGTCCTCTGTAAAAAGCAGCCAGTGCTCTTAACCACTGACCCATCTCTTCAGCCCAGACGACGTACTTTTTTTTTTTTTCTTTTTTGAGACAGGGTGTCCCTGTAGCTCCAGCTGGCCTAGCTAGAACTCATTATGTAGACCAGGTTGGCCTTGAACTCACAGAGATACACCCGCCTCTGCCTCCTGAGTGCTGGGATCAAAGGCATGGACCACCACACCTGGCTGATGATGCACTCTTAAAGGCTGGGGAGAAGCTAACCTCTCAGCTTAAGTGTGGGCTGCACCTAGTGACTTGTTTCCAAAGAAAAGTGTGGAAAGAGAGAAAAATAACCACAAGGTAGACTAACAGGACCTCAACCAGGTCACTATACCAGTCAGGGATTCCAACGTTTCTGTTTGCAATTGGGCATTGAGCATAAAACTGGGATACCATATAACCCACAAGGACAAGGTATAGTGGAAAGAGCTCACGGTGCTTTAAAAACACAATTACAAAAAATAAGAAAAAGGGAGTTATATGCCCAGACACCAAGTAATCTTTTACATCATACTCTTTTCATTTTAAATTTTTAAAATTTGGATAAAAATGACTGCTCTGTGGCAAACAGAACGTGGCATCCTCAGTCACAGGATACCTATGCCCAAGTCAGGTGGAAGGATCCCTTAACTGGACAATGGAATGGCCCCGACCCTGTATTAATTTGAGGAAGAGGGCATGTTTGTGTTTTTCCACAGAATGGTGATGGAGCCAGGTGGCTGCCAGAAAGGCTGGTGAGGTTTGCTGGACGAGCACCAAAGAAAAAAGAAGTAGAAAAGAATGAGGAGACAGACGTGGCTGATGATGATGTTCCTACAAGTGATAGTGGC